TAAAAGCATTCTTAGGCACATCTTCTGGTTTTAACACCTATTTGAAAATAACCAGTCGTTAAGTCTAACGTAGTCATGTATTTCGTAGAAGTTATGTTCCTTAAAATTTCTTCAATAATAGGTAACGGATATACCGGATATTTAGTCATGGAGTTTAATTTACGATAGTCAATTGCAAAACGCCACCTTTTCGGATGTGTTACTGGATAGTCATTATTTTTCTTACATAACACAACCGGGCTAGCATAACTACTTGAGATGGGCGTTATGATCTTTTTACGTAACATATCTCGAATGTGCCACTCTATAATTTTTTCTTTATTCTTATCATACCGATATGGTTTGTGGCGAACTGGCAGTGAATCTCCTGTGTCGATACTATGGTTAGTAACTTGAGTAAATCCGGGAATATCACTAAATAACGAAGCAAATTCACTTACCACTTGTCGAATTTTTTTGTTGCTCTCCCGTAGGCAGGTGGTTGAGATTTAACGTGGGTGGTTCTCTTTTTTCTTCCAGAACTGGTTTCATGGTCAGCTTAAGGGACGCTTGGTTAAAATCCAGCGTTGCTTCTGCCTCTGAAAGAAAATCTATCCCTAAAATGACATGTGCTTGTAAATTTTTTACGATAAAAAACATGATCTTTACTTGCTCGTCCTTGATGCGAATATATAATGGTATTTTACCTATGCATTTGCATCTTTCTCCCTGCGCAGCTAACACTGTCGTATTATCCGAATTATATATTCGGTATCTACGGAAATACTTCCTAAAAAAATCTTCTGCCACACAGGAACACTGCGCGCCTGTATCCAGGAGTGCGGTGGCTGGGATGTTGTTCACCAAAACTTCAATCTTTGGAAGAGTCAAATTTTTCACAATAACTGTATTTAACTTGAAGGAAGAGGGGTTTTCTTGGCCTTCGGATTTCCGCACCCTCCCGTCAGCAGAAATCCGTTTTAGTTTAAATTTTCTTTCTTCCTTTCCATGCCTTCCTTCTTTTTCCGCTGGCCTTCAGACTTTTTTTTCTGGCTTACTATTGAACTGTCGACGTTCGCCGGGTGTTTTTTTTGGATACTCAGGTTTTTTCCTTGCCCACTGATTCGATTTGCTTCCGTAGCCGTGTTCTTGCCTTTGCTGTGGTCTTGGCGCACCAAATTGGCTTCGTTGCTCATACTGGCGTCTTCTTTCAATGTCCGCCGTTCTTCTACTTTCAAACTGGATTGCTAGCTCAAATAACTTTTCCAGTGTAGTCGGATTCCTTAATTCAATAAAGTCTTGTACTTGGGGAAGTAACCTCGGCAAAATCACTTGGATTATCTCAGGATCCGGACGGCTTCCATACAAGAGTTTAAAGACGTGAATTTTTCTTAAAATAAAGCTTGAGAGATTTTCGATTCGCTGCTGGTATATGCTGAAGAGTTCCGCTTCTAATTGTGAACGATTTCTTACGACAGGGAAGGCTTTTACTAAGACAGTCTTAAAATTTTCGTAAGTATAGGTGGGACTTCCCGCTTGACCCAAGAGGTTTCTGCCTATACATTTTTACCAGTTAAGCGCTTGGCCCCTCAAAGCGCTGGTAGCTAAGGTGACTTTCTGGAATTCATGGACTGGATACAGCATGAAGTGGTCATCCAATTTTTCCAAAAAACTGGTTACCGGTGAGTTTCCATTTAATGTTGCTTCTGGTTTCATCGATGCGCGCATGGTCTGGACGATATTTATAACCCTTTATTTTTCTATCTTTACAGCGATTTCGGAACTTCGGAATACAGAGACCAAGCACTTGTGGTCTGAACGTAAGAATATAAAAATACTAACTAAAACTCTAACTAAACTAACTTTGGATTAATATACAAGTGCCTAACTTCAAGATTGGCCGTTATTTAACAAAATCCGTATGTAGTACAGAGAGCTGCTAAAACTACGATACGTTTGAAATTATCAAGAGGACTAAACCTCTGGCCTTGAAGGCAACCAGCAAACGAGTAAAACTACTATGGCAAGCGGCTTGCAATAACTCTTTCCTCTCTCTTGCTTGGCAAAAAGCCACAACTTAAGTACTTGGCGTTAGCAAGACAAATTTGCATAAATAAGTTAAAGCTTTTAATTCTGGCCGGAAGTAGAAAATAAGAAGTGATAGTAAAGATTTAAAATAAAATAAACGTTAGTAAAACTTAGGATCCTTACAATAGAAATGATACCAAGTAAATTTGCAGTTAATCACAACAGCGATGCAAAATTCTTATGTAGCCTTTTTTAATATAAATTAAATTTCTAATAGTTATTTACTCTTATGCTTTCATTCAGTTATGTTTAGGCTTTTTTATATAAATGATAATAAGGAAAATGTATTATATGAAATTAACCTTTCATCTAAATCAGAACAATAATCTTAGATAATTATTTAGTATTATACTTTCTTTCTTGCGTTAGAGTTGCCGCAATTATTTTTAGCAGCACTGACATCAACAATAGTTTGTTGATTTTTTACGGTCCTCAAAAGGGAATAGTATCGTGTCCTTTTCCATTACAGTTTCAATATTTTATTTTACTTTTATGATTAATGCATTTTGTCTTGGATGCGTCAGTAGCATTCACTCGTTACGTCAGTTCTCTACGGTTTTCAGCATTGTGCCTTCTGTAGCACAGATACTCATTACAGCCCGAAGTTTTTTCTACTGGTCTTTTGCGGAGTTTCTACTTTCAGTGGCACGTAATTAGCATCTTCAGAGCTTTATTATTTATTATTCGATGTTGGAAGTGCGTATTATATTTCAGGATCCCTGACAGTATCGACAAAATACTGGCGATTCAAGGTATCTTTAATTTCACATCTGCTATCCGGAAGTGCTAGCTGTGTTAACTTATCGGTATCAGGTGCCAGTTCTTGAATGGTCTCTCCTGTTTTCTGCTGTTGAGTCTTAAAGCGGCACTCGAAAGTAATCTTTAATGAATGTTTCTGCAAATCGCAATTCTAGCGCATTAATTAAGGCGTCAATATCCGAACGTTTTTCAGGTGGAAGCGTCTGCAGGATGTCCGCTACCTCTCCTCGTAAGCAGGTTGCCAGTTTTAACTCCTTGGGGACAGAAACCCATTGATTTGCCTGGGAAATTATTTGAAATTGCATTTTGTACATGTTCCTTGATGACTTCCCTTCATACAGCTGGAGCTTAATTAGGAGACGAGATATCTGGACTGGAATGTTATTCAAAATAGGATGAATTGGAACATTCAAAGTGGACTGAGCGGCCGCGTTTTTTATTAATGAAACCGGTTCTACAATTTTCTGTTCTAGCCTTACAATTTTTTTCTCCAGTTTGGTCGTTCAGACCTGAACGAGAAGATTTCAAACGATTTCATTTGAAAAGGATTTTATATTTTTAACTTCTTCACTTACAGTAATTAGCATTTTCAATTTTACCATCTCTAATTCTTCTCCAACCTTTTCTCCTATGGCAGCTATTCCCTTGTTCATATCAGTGACAATTTTCCCTTAGACAGCGGTTATAGTCTCCTTTATTTCAAATTAGATCTTAACGATGTACTTGCTTATATTTCTGCTGCCTCCTTTCTTATCTCCAGTGGCATTTGTTTCGATGGAATTCGTCATTTCTAAAGTTTCCTCTCTCATCTCTGCAGCATTTGCTGCGATTCAATTCTTCATTTATGCAGCATTCTCTTCCATTGAAGTCTTCATTTTTTTTAGCTCAGCAGCATTTCCGTGGATAGAATTTTTCATCTGTGCCGCATTCGCGGTTGCGTTTTTTCTGGGTGGCAGTAATCATTTCCATTTTTGCTTTCAGCTGTTCTTCCATCTTCCTAGTTATAGGCATTAAAAAAATCTCAAATTCTGACATCAGTTGTTTCGAGGTATGAAATCTTTGGTGGTTTTTTTTTTTTTTTTTTTTTTTTTTTTTTTTTTTTTTTTTTTTTTTTCCGAATAATAAGGCCAGATAAGTAGGAAGAAATGTACAATTTATTAGGAATTTAGGCACAATAAATAACACACATAGCATAACAATGGCTGGAAATAACACAAGGAGAACCCGGATATTTAGCAGTACCTCCTTAACACGTGAAGTAAATGGTGAAGTTCCTCAAATAACTCTCATGATAAAACCCTAACTCTTACTTCAGCTAATTTCTAAATCTCAGAGCTATCTCGCAACTGTTTCAAAAATAGGTTTCCTAGCTCTCCGACCCGTATTTATACTCTGTAGGGACTCTGGAAACCTTCAAAAGAATCGGTCAGGCCTTTCAAAATGTGTTTCGCAAATCTTCCAGAAAGTCTCTTAAGTTGGCGAGAAATCTCCAAATATCGCCTAGAACCACAAGGAACGAAACAGTCTGCATCTCGAGTTCTAATTGAGCTATTTTTACAATTTGAAAACCGTTTCTCCCAGAATGAAAAGATATATAATTTTATGCAACAAATAAACATTTAAATGCACGAGATATGAGATCTCTAGAAGAAACATTGTCGCGAAGATAAATCAGGAGTATTTCTGCCTGTATGTCTGGTTCTGTGTCAGCTGTCTGTCCAATTCACATGTCAATCAATTCAGAATTAGATTTACAACATAATACATGTTATAAGGACTTATAGACGAAATAAATGCCCACAAATTCGGCTAAACAAAAATCCACGATAATAATGTAAAAGGCGTTATACTTCAGGCCACGACAAAAAATATAAAACTTAAATACAAACCAATATGCACAAGCAATATGTTTCAGCCTATCTTGAAACACCATTAAGTGTATCTGAATAGTCCTTTTGATAGAGCAGATAACTTTGATTTAAACTTCTACGAAACAAAGAAAAGAATTCATCAAGAAATGTGCGCGCTTGCATAAATATTGCTTGTTTTCTTTTTTAATGTAATCGTAGTAATCTTTCAGTTCTAAATTTCTTTATTCTTCCAATGTATATTTTCTGAAATCCTTTATACGATTTTCATTACTAGAGAACAATATTAAAATTATTTTATTTTAGGAATCAACGGCGTAGGATCTTTGCCTCAGGTAACAATGGATAAAATAAACCAGTGGTTACAAAATGGGGACTTGGAACATATAAAAGAATTCGCAATGGACGGGTATGGCCAACATCTCGTTGGCAAAACATCCTGGAGTGAAGATGTCAGACAGTATCTTAAATCACTACCATTGTTTTTGGTATGTATTAAAATGCCTAAAGGATCTAAGAGTTTAATTGTTATGAAACGCATTGGTATCAAATGAACAAGCAACTTGAGATACCAACTTGTCTCGAGCAAAACAGCGATGAATTAAATAAGTGTACCTGATAGTTCCTTGATTTGTGTTATTTATTAAGATTCAATTACTATTTTATTAGATGTTCTAATATCTACAGCTGGGATACATTCTAAGTTATAAATTTACTAGAAATATTTCTGAGTAAAATTGGCTTGCATTATTAATTTTTCATATAGAAAACATTGGTTGGTCTTTTTGCCCCATTCTGCTTTAAAATAATTGCAATTTAGAATTGTATAGGATTAAACTTCCATCAGTTATGTCATTCTTTTTTTTATTTCTCCTTTTTCAGATGACCTTAGGGTCAGCATTTCATGCTGTGGAAAGAGGTGACGTAGAATCTTTAGACAAGCTTATAGAAAGTGATGAAAATCTACTAAGGTCAAAAAATACAGATGGTTCTACTCTCATGCATCACGCAGTACTACATGACCAGCTGGACGTGCTCAATTATTTCTTACATAAATACCCAACATTAGTGAACATTAAAGATAGGGTACGTTATGCTGTCTCCCAATCTATGTCCTATTTATTGTGTCTATTTATTGATTTATTTTTTAAAAAAATTGGAGTTTTGGGACGTTTATATGTGATTCCAATTTTTGCTGAATTTTCATTAATTTTTATTTTAAATATTTTTCGATATTAAAATACATTTGCATTCTTCACCATAAATGTTAGAAAACTGCTTTTATTTTCATTAGTGCTCTGTAATTATGTTAGCTAATTTTTACCAACTTTAGCTGCTTAATGTTAATTACCATAATTTGCATTAAATTTGAATGTAAAATGAATGTTAACTTCTTTTATACATTCTTAATTAAGTGTTAAACATATTACACAAATATCACATGGAATATCATATTTTCAGATATCCGTTATAGAAGTTTAAAATCATTAATTATTTTAAGAGCAGACTAATAAATGAATTTTATATCTACACTGCTTGCTGGCCACCCAAATTGCAACACCAAGAAAGACAAGAGATATCACAAAATTTATTTAGTAGATAACATGTTGACAAAATATCAAATGATTAAATTTATAGACTTCTGTGAAGTGTGGTTCCTTCCAGAATTAATTGCCAGAGTAGCCAACGCCAGAGTATTGTTGGAGATCACCGCTGCCACACGCCTCGGCATTGATTCAAAGAGACTTTGGATGTGTTCTTGGGGTACAGCAGACCAAGCAGCTTCCACGTGTTGCCAAAGTTAATCTGGTGTAGCAGTTTGTGATGTAATCTGGGTCAGTCTTTCAGCAACCAAGTACCACATGTTTTATATCGGCGAAAGATCCGGAGAGCGAGCCGGCCGGGTAAACAATTCAATCTGGCGATTGACGAAGAACCCTTGGACAATGTGTATCATGTGTGGTCGCGCATTATCCTGTTGAAATATGGCTGTGGGCAAGCCCTGAAGGTAAGGAAGGACAACTGGTTCCAACACCTCAAAGATGTAGTGCTGACTGTTTAAAGTACATGCAGTGCGTACTAGAGGAGTGCGAGAGTGATATCCAATACCGCCCCATGCCATAATACCCGGTGCCGGACCAGTGTGACGGAACATTACGCAGCTGTTCAGCATCCTCTCTTCACGGTGTCTCCAAACTCGAATCCGACCATCGTGGTGTTGCAGACAGAAGCGTGAATCGTCAGTGAAGACAATTTCATTCCATTCTACCATCCACATCCTTCTTTCATCGCACCATTGGCGGCGGAGACGTCTGTGGGTTTGCGTCAAGGGTAGACGAAGCAATGGACGTCTTGCGGACAGACCACTCTGCTGTAAACGGCGTCGAATGGTACCCGCAGACACTGGATGATGCATTACAGACTGAATGTGCTGTGCTATGGTTCGTGATGTGACTGAGCGATCCGTCACTGCCATGCGCACAATGTTCCTGCCATCACGTGAAGTGGTGCACTGAGGTGAATGCGATCGAACACGTCGGTCAATCGTACCCTTCCTGCATCCAACAGTCACATATCCACATTACAGTTGTTTGGTTTTCGTCCAACACGACTACCGATTTCTGTGAAAAGATAATCCACGCTCTCGGTAGGCCACCATCCTTCCTCTGTCAAACTTGGATACTAGATCAAACGATGATCACTGTTTACTACGAGTCGTAATTGATTTTTTTTTTTTTTTTTTTTTTTTTTTTTTTTTTTTTTTTTTTTTTTTTTTTTTTTTGAAAAAACCACAAGAAAAACACAATTGCCGAATTTGAAATCGTCGAAAACTTCAAGCCTTAAATAACGCTTTGAAGTGGCGCCACAGGCGCGCGTGATGTGCGTCTGCGCGGAAATTCTAATCATTTGCATATCTCACCTCCGCTAATGCATATTATCAATTTCATGTTATTTGCATGTTTCCTTCAGGGTGTTGCGTTTACGGTGGCCAGCAGTGTATTATTTGAATTCTGCATATTTATATATTCCTAGTAGATCTATAACTTAATAATTAAAAGGCAGAATAGTGATTAATTAGTGTAATTGAGAGCGAAATAAGTACTGTACTGGCTTGATTATAAGTCCGTCTCATATAAGAGATTCTCTTTATATGAGGTATTGCAAATAATTTGCAACAGAGTAATAGGGCTTGATTCACTTGACATGCTGAACGAAATACGATGGAAGGTAGTTAAATAGCCTAAATAGTAAAGTGCTCTTCAGTACAGTAATTAAATTTATTTTGCTTATTCTGCCTATTTAAAGAAAGACAGTACAGCTTGGGAATTTGAATCTTCACATCCATTGTTTCCACTTATCATGGGATTAAAAATATCCCAATTTATTGTTCACAATTATTTTCTTCTATTAACAGTGCTCAAAGAATTAAACAAAGCTTTAACAATGACTACATTGGCATTTGCATTAACGAATTCGTTTATTATCCTGATCTCCTTTTGACAGCAACAGTCTCAGCTTAGGGAACTTAATTAAAGTTAATTCCTTGGAAAATATGTATTATGGAAAGAACTGATGGACCACTGTTCTTAATATAAAGTGGATTAAGACACCATAATATATTTGAATTTTTTTAATAATATCTGTAAGTAAGGGAGTTCTCTGTCGTTGCTGAAAAGCTATATCATGCAGGGGTCTGTCTGTAGCAGGGGCTCTCAACGAGATGGGAAAACCCCGAGGGGTAAATTCATAATATCAGGAGGGAGAATGCGGTCAGCTTTTTATTTAGCTGCCTTATATTTAGCCTTATATTCAGCCTTATATTTAATTTTAAAGTTTATGAATATAAAGTCTACTTTTATTCAAGTTTTAGTATTTCTCAACTTTTTTTTTTTTAATTTATGAAACACGTTAAAAAATAATCTAAATCTAAATATATATATATAATAAGTTTTAGGAAGGAAAAGAGAGTTTTCGTTTAGTAGTGATGGAAGGGGGAAGGGGGCAAAACAGGTTAAAATCTGCTGGGCTGTAGTATCGTAATTAATACTTGTGGTAATATAACAAAAGCAAAGCAATCTGTGAAGAAATCTTTCCATTGATGATTACTCGCTATATTTTTATTTTGACTCCACTTCTAATATCGAAATATTTACGCTGACTGTATTTTTGTTCCGGAACTTTCGGCCAGTCTATTTGCTTATTTATTCTCCTGCATTCCCACATTGACTGTTCTTTAATTTAATGATAAATCGTAAAACATTGTTCAGGAACGTGCATGAAATCAATTAATACAGAATGATTTAATATGTTCATTATAATGTAGATTTTATGTGGCAATAGTGATGTTTTGTTTACATATGCTTTGAGCGTGATAAAAGCACGGAATGTTCCTTTTTGGATATGTTTAGAATGCTAAATAAATAAGTTCGTTGTTAATTAAAAAGGTTTTGTCTGCGAAATACATTTCCATTCGTACGACGTTATTAAAATAAGTTAAGAAATTGATTAATTTCAAATAACTGCCATCCTTTGGCAGGACGGAATGGCTATTTTAAGAAAACGAAACAACGGTTTGAAAACGAAACATCGACTTTGTATTGGAATTTATCAAGTTATGATTTATTTGATTATATCCTTGGATAAATTGAATTTGAAATCATGGAAATTTTATTACGAAAGCGTAAGCCTCTAAGGCAATCGTTTACGATTACTGCCAATGCTTTAGATGCTGAAATTTTAGAGCCTGACGTCGAGATTAATCAACTCCAAGTATTGAGCTCGCAAATGGAAGGTAAATTCAACAAATTAGATGAAGTTCAATCACAAATTTCCGAACTTTTGTTGGAAAGGGAAAACGAAAGTGAATATTTGGCTGATTTTGAGACGAATGAGACATATCGTGATAAATATATCAGTTTAAAAACAAAAGTAGAAACTAGAATGGCGAATTCCACTCCTGTAATTACACCTGGAATTTTAGAAAATTCTACGAAGAGGAACTTTAACCTACCAAAGTTGGAGCTTCAAAAATTCAATGGGAAGACCCGAAATTGGTTAGGATTTTGCGGACAGTTTAAGAAGATCGACGAAATTGTAAATATAGATGACGCTGACAAATTTCAATACCTATTGCAGGCAACTCGACTACTCAACTCGACTTGACTGATGTGGCGGCGAGTTTGGTAAACTCTTCTTTATTGATTGATATTCTAGTAAATGTTGACTCTATTGTGTTAAAACCTATTTTATTCGAAAGATTATATGTTCCGGTTTCAGAAAAGGTATTGCTCGTTTGATTATTTTAAATAGTTTTAAATTTATGAACTTTAAAATTGTCAAATACTGAGATGACGTGGCGGCGAGTATGGTAGGCTCCCCGTATTGATTGATATACTGGTAAATATTGACTTTTTTGTGCTGAAACAAGTTTTATTTGAAAGATTACATGTTGCAGTTTCAGAATATGTATTGTTTGCTTGAATACTTTAAATAGTTTTGAAATTACGAACTTCTAAAAATTTGAATACTGAACCAGGCCTAATGGATGCTGCTTGTTGACATTCGAAAAGCTGGTGCATCAACTGTTTAAGTCTTTCTACACGATGTGGGCAAAACGTAGTGATAAAAATGTGGTTTTTTATGGAAAAATTATTTTAATTGTTTTATATTGTGGTTCTGATATGAAAAGGGATTTTTAGACATTTTTGAATTTTATAGAATATTTTATTTATTTGTGTATATGTTCTAAACTCGCATCTTGTCCCAGACTTGCGTGCTAAAATGAATGATAATACAAGAGAATCCACTCCTATGGATAGTAAGATCCTGGAAGACGACGAAGATGTATTTTTAGTGATCGATAGATTAAATAAAGTTGTTGAGGATATGAGAGAGAAAAGAATTGCAAAGGCACTTATTGAAACACTTAATCAAGGATCAGTTTACATTGCTAACTGGGTGACTCGTCGTAATTAAAACTTAATACAAGACATCGCTGAAATAAAAGCATATATCAAAGGAGATGTGAAAGTTAGTGAAAACAAGAAGAATGAGGAGAAAGTGAGTGGAAATACTAGTATAATAGA